GCGGCGGCGGGCCCTCCTCCCTTCGGCGCGGTGTGGTGTTGGCGCGGGACAGCGCCCTCGCGCGGATGCGCGCAGCCATGCAGGGCGACCGGATGGCGGCTCTCTGGCGCGGGTGGCTGCAGATTCGCGGCCAGGCGGGGCGTGCCGGCGCGGGGCGGTTGTGGTGAGCTTCTCGGTCCAGATCTGGATCGGGGGCTTCTCCGGCCTGCTGCACGTGGGCGGCGTGTCCTGTCGGCGGCTGCTGGATCCCGGGGCGGCGGCCCTGGAAGGTGGCGGCTGGTGAAGCTCAGGCTTCCCGTGGCAGCATGGCGTGGTGCAGTCCCTATCCAAGGCGGATCTGCATCGGCGATCTCGTGGTTTGGCCACGGATTGGTTCAGATCAGAGACGGTGATGAGTGTGCGGGATCCATCCCGGCAGCTCTCGCGGTTTGGCAAGGTGGTGTGGGAGCCCTCCTCCCAGGCTCCAGTGGTGGCGCATTCAAGCAGTGGCTGGTGCGCCAGGGCTCCTACGGTGGCACTGCTGTTGCGGTTGGTCGCCGGATCTAGGCAGCTAGATCTGGGGCTTTGAAGGCGGTCGAGACAGTGCACAGGTTGTTGGGTGGATTTCTTGGAACGGATCCGGGTGAAAACTTGGTCTTCAGTCATTGACCGGAGCCGGTGATGGTGATGCTCTTATCATCGTTTCCTTCATGAAGGCATCATCGAGGTGAAGCTCCCAACCCACCCAATACCTCCGGGGGAAACCCTAGATCAGTTGATCGGATGACGGCGGCATTCTTGTGTCGTTACCCCCTTGGGGGCGGCATTCTTGGAGATGCACTCGGACTCGAGGGACCAGCGGATGGCATCTGCGGTGGAGCGGTGTTTCTTTCTACATATTCATGGCGGCGGTTCTCGACGGCATGGAGCAGTGGAGGCTTGGCATCAGATGTGTGGCGAGGGACACGCGCAAGAGGTCGACGTTGTCTGGCGTCGTGGTGGCGTCGATGGCAGAGTGGCCTGACAAGGTCGATGCGTCAGTACATGCTTTGAGGATGGATCGAGGGAAGACGGAGGTGACGGCCCTTTGCAGCGTGCGCGTGTGGTACTCACTGAGAGTGTGCCGGACCGGAGTGTTACCCAGTCCCGCCTATGTGGCTTGGATGGGGCATCCGGCGTTAGATGTTCGGCTTTCGTGCGATGTCTGTTTAGTATTTAGCCCGGACATTCGGCACATCTTCATCAAGGGGATAGGAGTAGCGACAGATGTCGTCTAGATGGTGGCCTCGGACTTACTGTTGTATTACTTTGTAAGGTCTTTATGAATAATAAATAATATGGCCGCATGCATCACCCAGATGCAGAGGCCGGAGGTGATTCCTCCTTTTCAAAATAAATAAATAAATACTAATTAAGCTCTTGTACTGCTGCTCCTCTAACATCATAAGGAAGGGCACGAATAAGTGGATCCACATATCTAGACCAGGTAAGCACGGATAAATTACCAGAGAATTAAACAGAGCGAACAATCTGACAGAGGTTTTTGTACCAGTGGGTCGACAGGGCCGAGGAGGCCTACGAGGGCGTTGCTTTTAGCGTGTTTTACTTTTACAGCTCTAGAGGATTTCAAAGACTTGTTCACAACAACAAAATACATAAATTACACGTCGATCATCACACATCCCTCTATAATTGCACCTATCAGAAGCTTATTTGCCGCAACATATATGTTGTTTGAAGTTCAAACTAAACTAGTAAATGCATCGACTTGTCAACTTAAGACCCACTGGCCACGAGATTCATTCAGTATGTGGAGCCGCTTTGCAACATCTATCATTTTCGGTCTTAGATCCAAGTTTTGGCTAAGGCATTTCACAACAAGTTGTGCCAGATTGTCAAGAAGCTCCAGATTCTCCATCACTGCAATTTTCTCATCGAATAGCTCGGTTGATTTCCTACCCTGCTTGTGATTCTCAAGGAAATTCCTTACTAAGCTATTATTATCAGAGTGTGTGGCCTTCTTCCTGGTAAGAAGTTCCAACATAACGACTCCAAAACTGTACACATCACTATATTCGCTAAGTAGGCCTGTTTGTAGGTATAGTGGATCCATGTAAGGATCGTCGCCCTTGACTGTTCTGGTGTGTTTGTAGCCTCTCCCGGTCAACCTTGATATGCAAAAATTTGAGATCTTTGGCACAAAATGGTCATCCAAGAGTATATTTTCTGATTTAATATTACCATGTAAGATATTGTGCCTTGAATGCATATAAGCTAGACCACGTGCTGATTCTGTGGCAATATTTAAACGCACGCCCAAGTTGAGACGTACCTTGCAGTTGTTGTGAAGAATGTCATGGAGGCTGTCTTTGGAGAGATACTCATATACTAGCATCGGGATGTCAACTTCCACGCAACAACCTATGAGCCTAACAATGTTCTTGTGGAGAACTTGAGATTGGATGATGACTTCCTTTGCAAACTGTCCATTTTGTAGCACAGTACCACTAATCTGCTTCTTTACTATGACTGGTACTCTATCAACAAGGCCTATGTAAACTTCTTCAAAGACATCTCTTCCAATACGGTTCTTGTCATTAATAGCTGGCTTAAGCTCCTCCTTCTTGAAAAGTTTCAAGATATCTATCTTCTCAAGCATAGGCCCACCATTCCTGGCATAATTCCTGCGTGCTTTTGTACTAAAGATGTTCAACTTGTTGAGCACAACAGAGTTAGAGCTAGAAATACTTGCCCCTTGTTGTTGGCTGGTATTTTTCTTTGTACCTTGCACTCCCCGTAGTGACCATTGATGTTCTTTCGCGTGCCGCCAATGATCTTTAAATGCCCCAATAAATTCCATGAGTTCTTCCGTTTTAGTGCGCCCGCTCATATCTTTTATGAGATACTCAAATGAAAGATCCAAAATTTTCCTTTGACTGTGTTGTTCTTTTAGGAGGTACTCAAGTGAAAGATCCACAATTTTCCTTTGACTGTGTTGTTCTTTTAGGGATCTAACCTGATGCTCAACAGATGGACTAGTGATGCCAGTTTCGATGATACTTGCCGTTTTATCAAGCTTATTGACTATATGATGTGCAAACGGTCTCTTCTTTGGGTTAGGGTCCATGCACTCTATCCCTATCGTAGTGCATGCTCTTACTTGCTCCAACTGCGTCTCCTTTTGATCTGCTGCCTCCAACCGATTCATCCAATTCTCAACTACCTTTAAAGATGCAACGGTGAGTTCAGATCAAGATAGGAATTCTATTAATCCTCAAAAAACAAAGATAGGAACACTATTGACAGATGGTTTATAGCTACTATAGAAAGAGAAAAAAAATACACTTGAAAGCCTAGAAGAGAAGATCATATATAGCCGTTATGAATTCACATGGACATATATGTTGTAAGTTGGATGTTTTATTTTTTGAAGCCTACTTAGGTGCATTTATCACGGGTTGTCATGAGTCTGAGCTAACGGCTGAGCTGGTTGTTCGTGTATAAAACACAACTCTGTCTCGATGCAATAAGCTCAATAACATGCTAGCACAATTTTCAGTCCAAATATAGGCCTTTGAGAGTTACACATGCCGAGAAGTGTTGATATATTAGTGCATTTTCAACATTTTCTTCATAAGTTAAATATTTTGGCAAACTACTGAGAATAAAGTGCTACAAATGCAACATTAATGACTCCGCCTTTGGTACCACCTTGCATGTTTAATTAAGCCATGTTCGCCTATGCCCAAGCATTAAGATCACATTTATAGCACTCCGCATATGCATGATTTTGGTAATTTCTCCAAGTTAAATTATCCCATTGGCGTACTTTACTTGAAAATATATCCTTAACATGGAGCACATGCTTAAAACTATGCTTACATCCTGTTCTTCCTGATACCCCTTCTCTCCTGTCAGAATCTCCATAATTATAATACCAAGACTGTATATGTCTGATGCAAATGTGACTTGTCCTATGAAGAATTCGGGTGCCATGTATCCCCTACAAAAAGATTTATGAAGTTTGATCCATGAATGTGCACACAAATATAAGTTCATGTGTCAAACAAAAGAAGAAGAAAAAAGCTTTCAGGAGACCGACTTACAGTGATCCACATATGTTTGAAGTGAAGTCACGGGTTTGGTCTTTATCAAGGCACCTTGAGAGGCCAAAATCAGCAATTTTGGGTACCATGTGAATATCAATCAATATATTACTAGGCTTGAGATCTAGGTGGAGGATACGCTTCTCGTGAAGATGAAGTAGTCCCTCACAGATTCCCTTAATAATTTGGTATCGCTCTCTCCATTCAAGTCCACGAGATGGATCTGTGGAGGAATTTTTTTATATACTAGAGATAATTTAATGTAATAAACAAAATTAGTTTTTCTAAATATGTCCCAACCTACCCTCAAAATTCATAAACGAGCAGTGAATAATACTCAACGGTTTCTTAACTTTCCCAAATTTATAGTGGGTCTCCCCTCAATTTTTTTATGCTGGATCACTTCTGCTTTCCACAAGATTGAAAATTAACTTCCTCAAACCTCGTTACTTTACTGCATGCATCTGCTCTGACAAAATAGAAATATTTCCCCCTTAAATTATTCTCCCTCCATTCTTAAATATAAGTCTTTTAGAGATTTCAATACGGACTACATACGTGTGTGTGTGTGTGTGTGTGTGTGTGTGTGTGTGTGTGTGTGTGTATATATAGGAAAATGGTTGTGTACTCCTGGAAGTACGTACTCCCGCTTCTCATATATCATATAGATGAATCTTTTATACCACTTTATTATTTTTAATATACTTCATTAGTAATTATTAGATACCCAAAATGAGTTCCATGAAAAAATTCACATGAGTCTACATATTTTTAAATGTTTACATATATACTGATGTGTTTGTACGTGAAAAAGGTATATTACAAAAAGTACATCGCAGATAATATTTTTTCAATAAAACTCGTATTAGGTATCTTAGAATATTTAATGAAGTATATTGAGAATAATAAAGAGGTATAATTAATGCGTATATAAGGTATATTGAGAATGGGAGTACATACTCCCAGGAGTACAGAAGAGGATTCCTATATATATATATAGACGTGTTTTAGAGTGTAGATTCACTCATTTCACTCCATATAGTCCCTATTGGAATATCTAAAAAGACTTATATTTAGGAACGGAGGGAGTAGTATTTTGATCGGAATTCTGTTTTTATTGCGAGTTAAATTATACAAATAATTGCTAATATATCGAACAACAATATAATGACCTTTAGTAAAGACATAAATATGTAAACATTGTGATCATACCGGTAATATACTCGATGAGACTTCCATTCGGTACGTACTCAAAACATAGCAACCAGTTTCGTACATCTGCCATGACAAACTTTCCTTCGTAATCTTCGATTCTCCCTTGCGTGTCAGAACAGTATCCAAGGAAACGCACTATGTTTTTGTGCTTGGCCTTTGTAATGCATTCAACTTCTTTGTGGAATTTATTCTCATGCATCGTTTGGGATAGTTTCTTCACAGCGACCATCTTTCCCCCCACCATTCCCTGCAACCATAACGTGTATTACATATGTGCACATGTGGTGGTCTGACTGTCATGTGCATATGTCGTTTACTTTTTAGATCAACTTCAACTGGAATTGAGAAAGGTTACTAGCCAGGGGTAATTCTGACCTTGTAAACTATAGAAAATCCACCGCTGCCAATTTGTTGATCATCGGAAAAACAATCTGTGATGTCTTCCAAAAGTGATAATGGAAGGTATGTTGGCTCTGCACTTCGATCAAGCACCATGCGTTCTAGATCAACCTTGTTTATAGTACCAATTTTGGTATCCATTTGTAATCAATACTAGAGTGCAGTACTTTTGAAACAAGATAACTGTTATCTTCCCCCCTCTGTTGACAACAAGACAACTATTAGCTTTTACTCAAGTAATAAATAATGATTCCTTTCATGGTACATCAAATTAATTTAGGCCCTTTATTTTTGTGGTCCAACTAGCTCTACTGGAGCATGGTTAATAACAAATCGTGTTGTCCAAATCACTAATTGAGAAGTACTCCTTGCAAAGATCACTCACACCTTTTCAGGTTATGATAATGGCACGCTGCATGTGCACCACTTGTCCAAAAGTTAAGGAAGACCGGTAAAAAAACAAAAAGTCAAAAATACCCGAAAAAACTATTTAAAAAGCTGAAAACGCATGCGGAAAAATAAAATAAAAAATTCAAATGGAGCGTCCAGAGTGCGACACGTGGCGGCGGCTGAGAGCGCGCCAAGTGACGCTAATCGTTGTGAGGCTTCCAAAGGAGCGCTCGTCAACTAGTTGCTCTCACGTGTTGTTGGCTATATAGTAGTGCCATGTCACCTAAAGCCCATGAAAAAGTCCTGTTCATATTTTGTGCCCAAATTTGAGTAAAGACATATAATTTTTTGTGACCTGCATTAACATTTTGTTAATTAAATCCATGATCAAATTTTGGCACAAAATACTAAGGGGATCTATAAACCAGAACGGAGGTAGTAGCTACTACTCCCTCCGTCCAATAATATAAGATGTTTTCCGATACTACACTAGTGTAAAAAAAACCCGATAATCCACTATGGCGCCCGGGCCCAGATGAGCCCGGTGAACAGTACTGCTATTAAAAATAGAAAAGGAAAGTAAAAAAAGTCAATTTTTTTTGGCTGGGAAGATGTTTGAGTGCATGATGTAGGTGCAAAATTTCATCCCATTTAGACATCTGTGGAGCTTGTGGCAAAAAATAGAAATTCAGCCAGTACAGTGCGTGAATAGGAGTGCCGAATTTTGTCTTTTTTGTCGTGCGCTCCTCGAATGTCGAAACACCACCAAATTTTGCACGAAGATCACGCACACAAGCATCTTGCTTGGAATTTTTGTTGATTTTTTGAAAAAGAAAATTCTATTTTTAATGATTTTTTTATTTTGCCCGGGCTCATCTGAGCCATGGTGCTGAAACGCCGCACTCCAAAAAAACATCTTATATTGTATTATGGGACGGAAGGAGTAATTGATTATAGTATTTAATGCAAGCGTGTGAATGAAGGTAGATGGTTGGAAGGAAAGGAGCTAGCGCCCCCTCTTTTGCATTTGGACGAGCTGCATCCAAGCCTTTACCTGGGTTGTCGTGCTGAAGCCGGGCGACGTATGTGTAGTCCGCTTCACTCTTTTTCCTGCTTTCTCGTCCTTCCACATAGGATTTTGATGAGGTGGAAAATGACGTCGCACCCTCCTCTACCCTCTTCCCCTCACCATTGGAAGAGAGAGAGCCGGCAGGCGAGTCTGTCCCGCGCCCGAGGACGGCGGTGGAGACCGAGTGGTTGCTGTGTCGCAGCAGGGTGGCACCTTGGTCGTGGGGCAGGAGAAGGGGGCGGGGGCTCACGTCGGCGGCCTTCCTCTCTACGCTCCTCGCATCCTCTCGGGTTCCTTCCTCGGTCCCCGGGTCATTCCACCCCCCCCCCCTGTGTTGTGGATCTGGTGCGGTGGCCAAGTGCGGGTGTCTCGGATCTGGCGTCTGGGCCACCCTCCCTCTCTCGCAACATGGGGCGCAGATGTGCTACCATGGCTACTCGGGACCTGCTCGAGCCCTCGATATGGATCTGGAGGGGCATATCTGGAGCCCCCGTGCAACGCCTCGTCGGCGGTTCAAAAGGAGGTTGGTTGTACGTGTATGCTTGAGTGTGCTGGGTGGTGGGTGGAGTCACTCCGTGTTCCGGCAGGGTGGCCGAGGCTTGGGAGGGCCCGCTATGGCCAGTTAGCTTGGCAGGGACCGACAATTTGCTTGGGACGACGAGCTGTGCGCTCCTCCACGACATTGCGGGCATGATGTAGTGACTAGGGAGGATGGGTCACCAGTGAAAGTTGCACAAGTCTTTGACCATTGCTGGTGGCGACGACATCTACGAGTGACGTTCTCTTCCTCTAAGGTGTTGCTTCCCGTCCCTCCATCCGAGGCCATCCGACTTCCTCGCCACTGCTTCAGCCACCCGTCGTCGGTGTCTCATTCAGTGTTGTTTGTTTATGTATGTTGATACCAAGGTTGCTCTAGGACCTTCTTGTCGCCAATGATTTACCTTAACGTGTCATTGGCCTCTTTTAGACGGTAGTCTTCTTGGCGTACGAGACCATCCCGGGACCAGGGGTTGCTGGGATTAGCGTCATGCTGATAGGCTGTCGGAGGTATCATTTAGCCAAGATGCATTGGTGCGATTGTTGGTTGCCATTGATGTTCTCTGGGTTTGGATGGTGGGGCGCTAGCAACCGTGCTTGACCTTGGTCAGGCAGATGACGACGACGTCTGTGGATGCTATTCTCTTCATTGTAAGCGTCGTTTATTTCACCCCTCCTCCTTCAAACTGATGGTGTCGTCTTGTATCGCCTGACCCAACAATTGGAGTGTGCCTTGGGAGCGGTGGGATGCTTCGCAAGATGTGTCGAGGCGCTCCGAAAAGACTTGTGCTCATTGCTAGGAACAAGCAAGCTCCTTTAGTTATAGTGCTTTAGCTTTGCTTTGTCCATGTTTTTTAGTTCCATGTTTCGTCATTATTTTGACCCCTCCTCCTTCAAACTGATGGTAGCATCCTATATTGCCTGGCCCAACAATTGGAGTGTGCCTTGGGAGCGGTGTCCTGCTTGGCGAGGTGTGTCGAGGCGCTCTGA